CGCAGGAAAGCTCTTGCAGTATCATGCACACACGGACAGAATATTCGATTGCGCAACGCGTCCAATCATGGCCATGCAGGCAGACGTGCCCTATCGATTCGGTCACCTAGCGTGCGCAAGACAGGCGCTTGTCAGCAAGTGCCCAACCCCCTCAACCAGACGTGGGCCAGCCATGGCATACCGCTCATCATCGAAGAGACCAACATGATTGATGCACTAGACTTTGGCCAACGCCCGATAAAACGCCTCCTCTGTTGCTGCAGGAAATCTTCAAAGGTCCAGCAAGATTACTCATTGGTCTCTGCTAAATGAGTGCATACGAGCCCTGAATAGGGTCGCGCACTATGGAGACAAGAACAACGTCCTGTTGAGACATCATAGGGATCACAGTAATGCCACCTTCGAAGGCCGAGTCGCGCGGACATATGGAAGGAAAGCACGGCAGATGATGAGCTTGAACAGGCGTCAAAGCAGAAAGTCAATGCTGAAGTGACGCAAACACACGCTCAGATCAGAATCAAGAGGGGACCAGCGGCAGCGCATGTAAATACGATGAACGTTATCAAGGCCCGTCGGTCCTTGATAGGGTGTTGCTTGGGTGGTTCCTGCTCTCAATCTAAATAAGAGGACAGCAAGCGTTAGCATTAGCATCACGCCGTAAGCATGTCTTCGACCAGTACAGTGCGCAAGCATTGGCTTGGAGCGGATAAAGTTTCTCAACATTCGATTCGGAAGTGACAGAAAGCCAAAACCGCAGTATGCTGGGTCTACTTTGCAGCCGATCTTCAAATTATATACATCAGATTCGCCATTTGCAGTCATCATCAGCTCCCTCCCTCATTTCATAGAGATGGGAAGGCCTGGATGAGCTGGAGCAGCTGGGCTCTCGTTCATTTGCTCGAGACCATAGTTGATCGCCGCGGCGATATCCTGGTTGTTCTTCTCCAGGAACATGAAGTGCCCATTGCCCTTGATACCAATGTCGGCAAGTTTGATCCACTGGTAGTTGGTGAGGCCCATCTGCTTGAAGTACTCGATGAAGCAGTGGTCGTACGTGATGTGCGGGCTGGCTTCACCTGTGATCATGATGTAGGGCACTTTGCCGAGTTGGGTGAGCTTGTGAACGGTGCCAGTCTGCAAAATGCAGGAGCGCTTGGCAGAGTCATCTGGGCCGACCTCAGTTGTAGCAATGGTCGAGCAGTTCGTTACCGGCGGATCGAATTGCAGCGGTGTGTATGTGAGGCCACAAGGCCGCGCCGCAGTACGACCGACCCCAGCAACAGTCGTGTTCCCGATCAGAGAAGTATGTGGGATGTTGCCAGGCTCGATGTTGATGTTGGCGCGCAGCAGATCAGGGCATGCGTCCGACCAGATAGCCGTGTACGTACAGCCAGCTGAGTGGCAGATGGTGTATGACTGGCCGATCATGCTGAGGAGCTGACATCCAGATGTGCGCATAGTGCTTTCCACGTTCACGTTCGATGAAGAGATAGGAACGTTGGCGGCAGTGAAGGCATCAAAAGCTGGATCTCCACGAGATCCGTTTCCCGGCCATTGTGTATGTACGTTTGCCTGTGGGTACTGGTCGAAGTTTTCCGGGGCTGTAAAGCCCTGCTCATTGATTGTGTCTGTAGATCCAAGGCGTAAAGGGTACTTGGAGAGGAGCTGCTGGCCACTTCGGCCATTGGCAGCGATGTCAACGATGTAGACCTGGTAGCCTTGATCAAGGTAGTAGGAAGCCCACCCTTTCCGATTGTCTGGCGTATTCAGCCATTCTGCGCCCGTGTTGACACCCGCGGAGACGAAGACCATCGGGTAAGGCTTGTTGACTTTGCTGGCGGGAGTCAGCTTTTCGACATAAAGCTGGTCGCTCCACATCTGCTGGCCCGGAATGCCGGAGTCGACGTAACCGCCACCGATATAGAAGAAGTCTCGCTGGTATAAAGATTCCTGGCTGCTACATTCTGGGCTGATGCCTTTGACACCAGTGCAGTCCGTTGATGGGTCATTTTGGGCCGAAGTCTGGAAGGGCAATGCACCCAGCAGCAAACCCGAGAGAATGGTACGTGAATACATGGTCAAGTAAAAAAGAGGATAAATAGAACGAATGGGTCACAAGTAGTGTCAAAGGAGTACGGATGATTCTTGGAGGGGTTTGCGCAATCAGGTCGGCAGCATGCATCCGCTTTCAGTTTGGAGAAAGCGCTTCCATGCCAACAGGTCGCGGCATTGGCTCCAGTCGCGCAGACGAGATGTAGAGTTGGACTCAATCTCGGTATGGGACTTCTTAGAGATGCCTTCCGTTCGCTTTTGCGCGCTTCGGGGAGAAGCGGACATTAGCTACTATAATTAGCTTAGGGAGCGGATGCATGCTGCCTTTCTAATCATTCTAATCATCCAGACCCTCAGGGTAGCAGCGGGCAGATTGCATGTTTGCGAAGAAGCTGGTTTTTACCTGTGATGGAGTAGCTTCAGCGCACAGCCCATCAAATTCGTTCCGTCGATCGGGACGTCTCGTCTTCGAGGAATGGCGTCTTGGATATGCGCGCAAACAGGTACCTACTTGCCAGCACCCAGACTGTAGGGCTCCGGTCCATCTACCTTCCGCGCGCCTCCGGCCCGACTTAGTTATGTTTTAATCTATCTGTCCACCGCATCGACCGAGAAGTCTTCAGAATCTGTCTGCAGACCGTGGTATGATAACTCATCACGATGCGGAGGATACACCATCTCCGGATCTTAACATTACTAGATCAATTACCGCTATAGAAGCATTGCTAGACAGAGAAAGGTCATTGCGCCCAAACTACCTGAGAATATACCTCAGCTTTTGTAAGATACAATGTCCATGAAATCATGACGTCCTCGGTGTCTTCGTCCCTACCTTTAGACTATGATACGTTCACTACGCATACAGTCGCTAGGCCAGTTCTAGGTTCACTCCACCGTGCAGACTTTCGCGTCGAACACAGTCTCCTTCTGTACGCTTATCGCCTCCAGATAAGATTCCTCCTCGTACTCCAACGCGTGCTCCGCTTGCTTCTTGTGACATGCCATGCCACACAACTCCGGACGCCCTCTGTGAGCTGGGATGTGGCGAGGACAAAGATATATCTTCTGCTTCTTCTGAATGATATGCCAGTCCTCGGTCTTGTTCGCGGGAAAGTATTCTGGGCCAATCGCGCCGATGGCTCGGATGTTCGCGTCGTAGGTTTGGACTCTGATAGCGTTGAGGTATTTCCACACATATGTTAGCGCGGAATACATCTACGCAGTGAATGCGACATACCTTGTTCTTGATCCACTCATGCAACACGTCGATCTGGAAGTACTGCGACTCGGCCTCCAGACGATTGTACAGATTATAGTTAAATCCTTTAGCCGCATCATAGAACAGCGGTAGTACCTCGGGGCGGCGCATAAAGCGCAATAAGTGCTCGAAGAGATCGGGGTCGGCATCAAGAAAGTACGAGCCGTCCATATCAGGCTCCCAAGGAAAGCGACCGGAAAGTTGGTGTCGGAAAAGGCCTGACTCTGCCTGTAGGGTATCGCGCGAGACCTTGAACTTGCGGCCGCCAATGTCGAGAACGAGGGTCTTAGGATAATTGCTAGTGATGTTGGGGACTTCCATGGTAAGGTCGATCAAATCGATAGCTGAAGTACCCTGTGCCCTACCATTTGGCTCACTGTTGCTGCCACTTGTGTCAACAGGCGCATCCTCGGTGGGGACGCTGACTGCTGTCATCGCGGCGGTGATGGCGTCGAGATCCATACTTGTGGTTGACGAAAGTTGCGTGTCTTGGTGTCGTTGTTGCCAGCAATATGGGTATGTTAACACGGAAAGGTTGCTCTCCGATCCACTAGTGCGTTCACCGTTCATTCTTCACGAGGAACCAAGGAAAGGCCTTTTCTCCAATATTCACCGTGAATTTTGGGGCACGTGACCTTAGGCCTTGACATATGTGCGGGCTCCTATAACTAGCAATGCTCTGTGTAACTTCGGGTGGAGACTTGCAAGGAATCCCAACTTTGGTGCCGAGCCCGAGTACCCTCTGGCGTAGGCTGTGTATTTAGCCCGCTCAAGCTCCAAATTCCTTTGCTATAGACTTTTGTGCCTCAATGTATCTTTCCAATTTCGCTTCCGCCTCAAATCTCTCAGTCCGTTCTTCCCTCACCTCACTCTCGGCCTTTTCTGCCCGTGCCTTCCAATTTCTTACGCTGCTCTGACTCCTTTCGAACATATACTTGAAACTCTGAGAAGATCTTTTCCTGTCCTCGTTCAACTGCTTCAGCTGTTCAACTTCGCATCTGAGAGCCTTTGCCACTTCTGCTTGCTCGGCGATCATACGATTGAACTGTGTTGTAGATGTCGCATCGCGTCTGAGCATCACAATCTCATCGTTCAGTCGACGCAGCTACGCTTCTTCTTGTTGATGACGGTCTCGCATTGCTGCTATGATGTCTTCGTCTTTGCTGAGTCTGCGCCTCTTCAGTGAGCCTGTGAATGCGTTAGTCGCTCTCATGAGGACAGATTGGCTCATTTTCACCTTGTAGAGTTGCTTCGTTGCTCTCCATCGTAACAGGATGTAGAGAGGGTGATTTAGTCTGCAGTTCTGAACCGATGCTGGAGTCGTCCAACCCGCGCGATAGAGAGGATCGAGATTGCTGGGACTCATTCATCTTATTATGACGGCACAATCGGGCGTTAAAGTTAAGACCCAGAGTGAGAAGCAAGGAGGACGTTTGAAGTTGTTTAAAAAGACTAGAAGCGAGGTGAAGGTGAGAGTGATTAGGACGACCAACGAGTCTCTTGATCAACGCGCTTGGTAACCAGGTGAGAGATGTTAGTCGATTACTGAGAGCTTTGGAACATGCATGAGTTGCATGTCCCTGAGATTATAGTACCTAGATATCGTCGCCGTAACTCGGCTAGTCTAACGCTTACATATAGGAATGAAATTTGAGGAGAGTGTTATATGCAAGCTCAGCTGAGATTTGCCCTACACCTGGCTCTGAACATATCGTTCTCGTTCCTCCTCAATCAGCTCCTTCAACCGAGCCTCACTAATCTCCCCGCCATCCTGCGCACCTTCTTCGGCACCACCGTACCTCCACCCATACTGCGTCTTGACCCACGCCACATCCCACGAACTCGGCCTGGACCACATAGGAATCATCTCATATCCGAGATCATGATTCGTACTGTCCCTGTAACGCGCTACTGGGCACTCCGCCTGGTTGCCATTTAGACAATTCTCATTACCCATGATGTAGCTGTGGTAGTGCATGATGCTATCCGCATCGTACGGTGAATCGGGGTTCAGTGTCCAGCCATCCTCGGATTTCCCGTACAGAACAGTATCAGTGTAGGAGCGGCCGCTGAAGTTGTATCTATCAGCAATTGTGACGTCGTTGCACAGCTCGTCGGTCGTCGTGCTGGGGTCAGATTCACGCGCGCGCGCGAGGGCGGTGCGGTAGTCGGTGAGCTTTGTGCAGTAACGGATGTATCTATCACGGTCAGAGCGTTGTTGCTCGTGCATCATTCCTTTTGTTTGTCAGTCTTGTAACATTCGAGATCGCGGGTAATGTCCAACGTACCCATGACATGTCCAAGTTCGTGTGCTACAGTTGTGACGCTGGCCTCTACGTCTATCCACATGTTCAGATCCCAAGGCTTTCCCGGCGTATCACCCATGCCCACAGTGGATGCGGCCGCGGCTTTGCCCACGCCATCGTCCTTCCAGATGGCGACTGTCTTGTATGGTACCGCCATATTCCATTTGCTCTCAGCTGGACTGTTGACATCTATGCAGTACCTTGGGTTCTGTGAGAAGTCAACATACTCCGAGAAGATGATCTTGTGGTTTGTCCCCGGCGACGGTCCGCCGCCGAGGGCTGTCATCCACAGTTTGATAGCTGCTTCTAATTTCTCAACATTTGCTTTGCGATGCTCTTCTGTTGGAAAGCAGTACGGTATCAACGTAATGCCCTTGATGTAGAGCTCCGTCCACTTCTTGGGGCCACCACCGCCTTCGTGACCCCAGAGAGATGTGGTGCCAGATTGCATCCCATCATAGGTTGGAGTTTCGGTGTTGTTAGACGGAGGTAGGATAGCGCATGGACCTGAGAAGATAGGGGATATTGGGGGAACAGACGCCGCTATCGCCTGAATGGCAGCCGCCGCAAAGACAGGGAGGTATCTCATGATGGTACTAGAAACAGTTGATAAGAGCAAAGGAATGTTGAAAATAGGAAGTGTAAGGGAGTCTTTAAGGTAAGTGGAGCCAGTTATGTACTCGTGATCACAAGGGGCAATCCGACTGCAACGCGCATCGGCCATATTACGCATTTGAGTCACAATGCTCATTTTGGTGAAAGAGCATCGCTACTAGAGAACACTCGCCGGAAGCTCAAGCCTCGGGTGCAGGGCCTTTGTGGCGCCCCGGACTTTCTCGGACTATTTGAGCAACTGCATCAAATAGCAGCACTGGCAACATCTCTAGCAGCCTTCTCTTCCTCTACCAGCTTCGCCCGTTGACGATCCAACTTCCCTAGAAACTTGGGATCTTCGCCAGTCACCTTGCCTCGCTCAATGTATGGAGTTCGATCAAAGTCTTCATCCGAGGCTTCCTCATTCTCATCTTGTATGCCCGCATTCTCGACTGAGTCGATATGGGGTCCTTGGTATGGGTAATTGGTGCGGACCCAGCGGACGTCGCCTGGACTCGGCTTTTCAGCATCATAGATGTACGCTATTCCTTGCGATTTATCTCCAGGCACCTTCCACCTCCTCAATGGGCATTCTTCCGGGGGGGGGGGGGGGGGGGGGGGGGGGGGGGGGGGGGGGGGGGGGGGGGGGGGGGGGGGGGGGGGGGGGGGGGGGGGGGGGGGGGGGGGGGGGGGGGGGGCGGGGGNNNNGGTCTTTTTCTGGGGTGCCCCCCCCCCCCCCCCCCCTCGGCGCACTTTTTATTGGCATGTTGGAAGCTGCTATACGACATAATAGAGTCCACGTCGTACTCGGTATCAGCTTTCATCCACCAGTACTGGGCAGGGCTACCATAAGCCACGGACATGGTATAGTGAACAGCGGGGAATTGAAACTTCTTGGAGTAGTCTGCGAATAGACACAGCTGGTGGTCCTTGAATTGCGGGAGAGCCTTTCTGGCCCGAGCGAGCGCGTCCGAGTAGCCTTTCAACTTTTTGCAATCGAACTCAACGTGTTTGTCGCGGTCTGTGCGCTGGTGTTCGTGACCCATGCCTTGAACAGTCAGTAATGATTATGATATTCGTTTGTGTGAGACATACCGAGCACATGGCCGATCTCGTGCGCGACGACCAGGGCAGTCGTATCTGGGCCGATTGACAAGCGGAGTTTCCAGGGTTTGCCTTTATCAGCCGCCCTGCCAGCCCCCATAGTCGCGTAAGCTCCGTTGGTTACCTTCTTTGACAGACTGATCACCAACGTTGTACTCGGCAACGAAGGGTTCCACTGTTGTTTGTTTTCGGGGTTCGGATCATAGCACAAGTGATGCTTGGACGCCTTGTAGTCATACCATTCGTTGAACTGAAGATCATGCCCGTTGTCTCTACCACGCTCTCCGCCTAAAGCAGCTTTCCAGAGGGCTACAGCTGCTTCGACGCGCTCAAGTAGCCTGGCACGATCCGTCTCAGAATAGAAGCAATAAGCAACCAATGATCTACCTGGGGAAACGATGTCGGTCCATTTCTGTGGACCGCCCCAATTGATGTAGTTAAACAGTGAAGCACCGCCATACTGGGTTGTATCCTGACCGTTTGTGGTATCTGTGGTATCCGTGATATCCGTAGCATGAGCGGCCAGTTGAGCTTGCACTTGCTCATCAGTAATGGGTGGAATGATGCAAGATTGATCTGGGGACCATGGCAGGCTCGAAAGATGGTCCAGCTTGGGGACTACCGCAGCGAGCGCGCCGCAAACCAGGAAGGGGACCACGAAAATACTGTAGAGCATGACTGTGATCGTCGGGGTGCTGCTTCCAGTGAGTCGGAGTTCCAGAGGTATCAGATAAGAGAAGAGGATACCAGAGATTCGCAGTTTATGATGATGGAAGGTATGACCGGCTAGCTCGGCTTGGCGCGACAACGGGGCTTTGGGTCGTCGTCGATGCAGCAACTATGGAAGTGAATGCTATCCCGTAGTCGCATGGCATGAAACAGGAATCTTCGATATTGGCATCACTGCTACACGTCCGAATGCATCTTTCCACTCGGAAGGTTCGTCGGCCACCAGTTCCGACAAATGCGGAGCGTATGGCGGCGGACTTTCGGGGTCCTAGTGAAGGTGAGACCGCTGCCTTGCGTTCCAGAGCCAGACGTTGTAATCTTGCCGCCTGAATAAATCTGCATTCACCGAGACGCAAAAAAGAAACAGCGCTAGCGATAATGTGACCTGCCACTCAACAACAACAGCCCAAACCTTACCCACAAACCAAAGCCGCAATCGTTGCGCCCACGACTCAGCCAAGATGGCGCACTCTCCTTCCAATTCAGGACTCAAGAACATGCGCGATTTCTTCACGCGCAGCGAAAAGGAAAAGATCCCTCCCGAGCTCAAACAAGCGCTGTCGCTACTGCAACTACCCAACTTGGACAGTCTCGAAGAGCGCTTCCTCGCGACCGCTGCGTTCCTAGAGCCATGGGCTGTGTTCTGCGATTCGATATTCTTGCGTCAACCGGAGGCGGTACCACGTGCAACAGCGATAGCCAGAGAAGAGGGAGAGGACGGTGTGTCTCGCACAGACCTGTTGTGGTTTTACACACGATTCGACGAAGGTGTACACCGTTATGACCCACGCGCCGACAAGCACAGCGCGGAGTACACATCAGACTCCAGCGTGCATGGAGTAATCGACAAGAGTGATTGGACTGTGGAGGCGTACGAGAAACACCTCTTCGCCTGGTTGCTGCAGGTATTCAAGGTCGGCAAGTCGCGCAATCCGTGGAACATCGACTACTTCGAGCTCCGCAACATCTGCACAGCCTGGGAAGCAGTCTTTGTGCCGATCGTCAATGCTGTTCGCGCTTCCTACAGTGTCAAAGGCCGACGACACTACGGTCGCCTCGCGCTTTACATCGAAGAGCGGTGTCCATCTGGTCTCGCTTTTCCCAAGGACAACGTCTTGGTACCTGGAGGAAGCCTGATGTCACCCACGCCGTACCGCATAATCTCCTTGCCGAAGAAGGCCGTCAGTGATGAAGGCGCAACATTCCACAAGCGTGTTGGCGGTGCTGGAGTGTTCACGCGAAAGCAGTACGACGAGGCCGAGAAGGAGCTCCGCGATGTGTACCCTCAGTATGGCGGTTTGGTTGAACGGCCCAAGTTCAAACATAAGATGGAGGAGTGGTTGAATGAACAGCGAGCCCGAGCAGAACGCAGGAAGGCCGCAGAGAAGACGGGCGAAGTGAGGGCCTTCCAGCCCCAGGTGGTAAAGCGTGACGGTAGCCGGAGCCCAGGAAAGAGCAGCTCTCCCGATAAAGACCGCAGCAGACAAGACCAGGATGGCAGCGAGAGCCCAATCAGACGGTACTCAGATAGCATCCGCCGCTCGCTGTCTCGAGGCATGTCCAGAATGGCGTCGAAGGAGGAGCCGAAGAGTCCGCTGCATGGTGTAACACGACAGATCCATCTACCTGATGAAACACCAGCTTATCGCCCTTCCGAGCCCTCGTCAACCGAGAGGCATGTGAGTGGCGCCTCAACGGATACCACTATCATCACGCCATGGCCCCGTCCTGATACAGTGCGCAAGCCATCTGACCAGAGTGTCTACATGTCAACCCATAACTCAGACACTCTCATCCTTCCCGATAGCCATCAGCGCATGCAAATGTGCGACGACACGGACGAATCGATATATTCGCCCATGGGCCAGTTGAGTGCTATACCACAGCCACTGCACCACAAGTACCAGCCTGAGATGCGGGTCGCGCCAACGTTCGAGAAGGGAAGAGCACACCCGGAAGCACGGGTTCCAAGCTACGAGGGCAGTGGTTGGGACGACGAGATCTCGTTGACAAAGCTCAAAACTGTACGCGAGGACACTGCGAGAGATCCGCAACGCGTTCAGCCCTCAAAGCCAGTCACGAGGCTTCCTGTGCCTATTAAGCCAACTGCATATACCGGCGATCTGCGTATCGCGTCGAACGACATCCATCGCAAGGCGACACAAAACCCTCTTGCGTGGCCGGGTACTTCTCCGCCCAGAGCAGTACCATGGCCCGGAATGGAGCATACCGTTCCGTCCGTGTCATCCAGAAGCCCCGAGCGATGGAACAGTACACGTGGGCTTGCCAGCAGCGCTCGTCCCCAACGGCTATTGCGCGATGAGTCTGATCGCAGCGTTACGCGCATCGTTTCGAAAGAAAATATTCGCTCCGTGCTCAAGGGTAACTCTCGTGATAGTTCAGCAGAAGATCTAACTCTGCCGCCTCCCGTACCGATGCTCCCAGGGCAGAATAGAACGATGAATCCTGCTGGCGCTAGGTTGCAGACGTACAACACAGATCTATTTCCGCGTCGAGAAGAGCGCAAAGGAACTCCAGTCGGTGGGTGGGTTGGTGCGGACAAGAGCAGAGGTGCACATGGCGGTCCTTTTGAGCTAGATATGCTTGATGGGGCGAATTCTGGCCAGGGTGTTCAGAGCAGGACTGCAGGAGGCGATACACGATACCATGAGGAATACCATGGCAGGCATGAGCCTGACGACCGTCGGAGTCTCGAGAAATGGATCTGAGGTTGCGTTGCGACTAAAAAGCCGTGCGATAGGAGCATTTGGCTTGCTCCAGCTGTCGCCCCGGTCAGCCTTTCGCATCATTGAACAGTTTTGGACTGCCGCCCTCACGTCGAGACACAGGCCACATTTTCGGTCAAGGGTTGCTTCCCGGTGGTGGACGATGCTGGGCTTGGCAGACACGCGTAAGGGTGCTGAGCATGGACAATAGAAAATAGAAGAAGGAAAATACAACGTGAAAAGCGAACACTCAGGGTGTATTTTGATATGGTGACCTGACTCTCGGCCTGAGAAGAGTGACAAGCGGAGGTTTGACGACGTGAAGTGCTGCCCGCCCCCTGTGACGCGAGAATGCCACGCTAGCACGCACCAGTCTTTCCAAGGTCAGCGGCAGCAACACGTCACCGACAGCTGTGGCAGCATCATGGGCAGTCTTTGGACATGTCGCGAGACAGTGGCCAGTATAGAACAAATTTGCAATCCATGCTTGCGTGTGGATATCATTCACGATCGTCCTCGATCTCAGCTTTATGTTGTGATCGCTTTCCCCGCATCTACCACCGCGGCATTGCACCCTGCTATCTTGCTTCGTGATACATGATCCTCTTAGTCCAACAATGCGCGAACTCGCAGCATAGGCGATGACCATCCGACTTGACCGGCGCAACACCAATATGCGTCAAGACGTAGTGGTTATGCCCGGAGCGAGTGGGCTGGTCGTGAACTGTATTTTCCGCCACCAGCGCAACCTCCATCTGCACCATCTCTTTCCTGCCGACGAAACGGCTGCATACTGAATATGAGCTGGACTAGGGTTAATGGCGATGGCATGTCTTTGGCCTACCATGAGAGCGCAATAACCGGGCTGAAGTGCGCGGGCCAAGGGTGGGCTGCCTGCAAGCCGGCCTCGGATCCTGGGGGCGCCGCTCGCTACCTCACCCAACTTTCACGTCGTGCCACATCCATACTTTGTTTTAGCATCCGCATGCTCCATCGAGCAGTAACCAGCCAGCGGCTTTGAGCACGACCGGAGCTCTCTCTCTCTCTCTCTCTCTCTCTCAGACATGTCGTCCTTGTTTGTTGAATTACCAGCCGAACTGGCTCAGCACATCACGGCGCTTCTTCCACATGTTGATCTCCTCAACTTGAGCCTGACATGTAAAGAACTTCAGAGGCACGCGGAATCGTCACTCTACCGAGAATACATACGGCCTCACGGGAAATCGCTTTCCATGTTCATCGACCGCATCCTTGCAAGGCCCGATATTGCGGAAAAATATGTCAGGAAGATGAAGCTGGGTTTCTGGGACTCTGAGTTCGCCGGACCCCGTCCAGAGATCATATCCGAAGAATTGTACGACGCGTATACGAAAGCTGCAAAGGCTGCAAATGTCATCGACATCATCGTCCCATATGAAGCCGCGGAAGTTACCTCAAAGGGAGCTTTGGTTTCAAATTGGCGTGAGCGAGATTGGTACACAGTGCTTCTCATGAAGAAAACCCAGGGTGCTGGGTGGCCTCCTTATGATCTCATGTTCTGCCAGATTCTGCGTGCTGGGCATGAAGATGCACTGGTCGCACTCGTTCTGGCCCTTCTCCCAAATCTTCGAGTACTTGAGCTGCACACCATTCTCATGAACCCAGACCAAACCATACTACCTTGGCGTTTGCCTAAGCATGGATTCAAAAAGCTGGTCAGGCTTACCGCCGCCAATGATAGGGCTGTACCATGGTCTGCGTCCTATTTAAACCAGATAATGGACAACACTTCGCTCCAAACCGTAGAGTTGGCCAGAGGGAGCTGTTGGTATCAAGCTGGAGATGATCTCCTTGAATCGCCGCCAATTGCTCTACCTCTTGGTCTCGGGGCGCTCACTGCTCTTCATCTTCCGAATTGCGCTTTCACGTGCGTGGAGATGCAAAAGCTCCTCTCAGCGTCCCCTCGTTTAAAGCGGCTATACTTTTCATACGGATTAGCTATGGGCCCTTACAACTTCACAGCAAGCGAGCTTATCACCATGCTTGACTCATTCAAAAACACCCTGGAAGACTTGTATCTGGACATCGTACCCAGTTGGATGACTCCGCAAGAAGAAGATAGTGACTCCAGCCATCTAATCGAATCGCTAAGACACTTCACTGCCTTGAGGCGACTGGACACAAATGTGGACGTGTGGAGGATGTTGGACGTTGGGGCAATCTTGCACAAGTATCAGCCCGG